TGCCCCAGGTGCAGGTGTGGGCTGCAGGGCCCAGTCCCACTCACCAGGCACTCTCCTCCTCCAGCTCCTCTTGCAGGCACTGTTTTTCCTGGCGCAGCACCTGGCAGACAAAAGCATGAGTGCCCGTGCCCACTGCAGCCCTCCTCCAAGTCCCCAGCCTGGGGGCGGGCAGCCCCAATCCCCTCACCCCTCTACACTACCTTGATCTCCTCAGTCTCAGCCTGCAGCTGCTTTTCCAGCTGGGCGATAAGCTGCTTTTACTGCAAGACAATGGCTGGGCCATGTAGGATGGCTGTGCTGGGACCCATGAACCCAAGGGACCAGGACCGAGGTCCTCCTCACAGCCAGAGCCGTGAGGACACCAAGCTCTGAGGACACGCCCCTGCTTCACCCTATCTGCTCCAGCTCCTCTTTCCTGGCAGCCACTCTTTCACCCTGTGCTTGCTGGGATTCCTGCAGGAAAGGAGAAGAGGAGCAGCCATCAGGGCACCAGCACTCCCACGGAGCTCCGTCTGAAGGCAGCTCCGTGCTGCCGTCCCCTCCCACCTCCTCCATTGGGGCAACCGGCGCCCGCAGGGCTGCAGCTGCAGACCCACACAGGGAGACTTCTCCCACCCCACACCCCACGGGCAGCACTGCTGTGCCTGCATACCCACACCGGCCCGTGCCACTGCATCCACTCACCTTTGTCAGCAATTCCCTGGCCGCAGCTCTGTGGTTCTCCACAACCCACTCATGAGCCTGTGGGAGGAGAGAAGAGCGGCGCTGGCACCGAGGCCATGTCCACTGCACATGTCCATTCCATATACTTATACTTATTCCATATCCTCATCCCATTACCATCCCAGTCCCATTCTGTATCCATATTTCATCCCCAATCCATCCCACATTCTTCCCATATCCATCCCATATATATTCCATTTTCTGATCTCCCATTCCATATTCATCCCATATCCGTATCCCACACCCTAATCCTACAGGGAGCATTGGGGGGGTTTGGGAGGGGCTATGGGGGGGTCTACGTGGGGGTATAAGGTGGGCTATGGAAGCACGTGGGGCTAAATGGTCCAGATATAGGCCCAAATACAGGGACTATAGGGGGCTAAAGGGGAGATGGGGGAATACTGGTGAGATACAGGGTTATAAACATGGCTGTGAAGCGATACAGGGCAATATGGGGCTAC